TTGCTCGTCTTAGCAACACACTACAAATCGTCAAAGGATTTGGTCTAAGGATCGACTTCACTTGTCATTTTCACGAGTTATAGCATGGTAATAAGAATTGCACGGCTCACTAACGATAGCGGCAAAACGTCTAAAAATGTACCAATTTCATGGTTCGTCTCTGAAAATTAACATGGATATCAGGAACTCCGGACAAGATTCGTTCCTCTAGGTCTACCTGACAATACGATCAAGTTGAGAAAACAAAGCCAAACAACTTTTACACACCGAAAGGAGACAGCGAACATACTAAATGCCCAACCATCTTAGCCTTCACATCTTCGATAATAATAAGTTAAATTTCGTTCTCTTTAAAAATTATTCCTGGAATAGGTAGCATTTATGAAACTTGCCAAGCTTAGAAGGGGAAGTGGAACATTGCGATAAGTGTATAATTGCTTCTCAAATTCCATGTAGCTAATTGCATGCTGGCTATTGGATATTATTTTGTAATAGTGAACTGCTTTTGATTTTAGCTGTTACTTAGAGCTTTACTTCTTTATTGCGCTAGACCTCGTCACCACGATCAGTAAAAATAATTAAATCTCTGGGCGACGCAGGTTGGAAATTATCCGATGTAGTATGATATGGATAAGTGCAAAATTAATTTCTTGCTATTCAGCATCTTCGAACATGATCTAATCTATAGTTAATATAGTAAATATTGAAAAAATTATCTCTAAAAAGATTAGTTGTTATTAAAATCTCGCAGAAATTTTTGAATGACTCCTTTTAATTATAATAGAATTAGGAACAGAGAAAATGATTCTACAAAAAAAAATATACAAGCTCTGAAATTTAGGATAAGCTAAAATAAGAACCTAGCAAAATTTGCTAGAAAAACTTAATGAGGTGACATATACTGAACTAAATAAGAAACGTATACTAGTTGGCTAGATCCAACTAGTTCTTATAACGATTCTTTAAAATGGTGCAATCTTATTCTCCTCAGACTAGTCTAAAACTTTTCGAGTTACAAACTACTTTTCCTAAACTCTATCTAGCAATTTGAAGGCATGATTATGAAAAATGAAAAAAAAACGAATACCAGAGAAATTAAATTTTATCAACAAAAAGATATTTGCAATTTATTGCTACAACAAGAAGTCGAAGAAGACTTTTTTAAATATTAAGTATGCGGGCTTGAAAATAAGTACTCTAATATATGGCATAATAAAGTAGTCCAGTGAGTGGTTGGATAACGGCAAACCTACAAAGAATATTACTAACTATTCTCGATTCCAAATCTATTATTATCGGTATTTGCTGACCTATGGACAAAGTATCCATCTATAATTATAATGGTCTTTGGGAAGATTTAGTATATTCAAGCCTGCATATATGCATTGATGTCAACCCAAATTTGTGCTTTGCAATAAGTATAATAATGCAAAAGGCTTCCCATTATATACATAGAATAAATTTCCCTAATGTCAGTAAATTTGTCTGCTTTCTGGAGGAAGAGAAGTCTGCAAGCTTTTTACCACCAGATAGATAGTCATCTTGCTTCTTTCATGTTACTGGGTAAATCCAAAATGGATGCATAGAATTATAGAAAAGTATCTACATAAATTATAAAAGTGAGGGTGTTCTTGACTTATTAGGCATCAATACAAGCATATAGGCATTCCTTGTGCCTAGGACCCCTTCAATGTAGATAATGGAATCAGTCACCAAAACAAAGGGGGCTTATACTCTTATATAGTAGGTAGGGATTCATCTTTGTGCGGAGAATGGCAAGGCTCACTGATGATGCTGACTACGATGCCGGCAAAACGTTTAAGAATGTATCGAGTCCACTGTCAGATGCTGGGAATCAAGACA